AGGGCTCTCACAGAACAGCCTGGCCCTCAGAAATCCCCAGTGTTCTGGAGACAGCAGAGGAGTCCATTTGTCATGGTGCAGATGCCTTGAAAAGATAACTCAGCCTGACTGCACCACGTTCCTGAGTTAATTTTCTTCTCCGGGGTCCTCAGAAGTGAACATACACCAGGCCCACTCTGGTATCAGTGACATCCATCCCCAAAGACTCTCTGTTCTGAGAGAAAGCAGGATCTGGACAGGATCAGACTACAGGAAGCCTCAGTGAAGGACCAAAGACACGGCTCAGAGGCAGGGTGATCAAAAGCAGCCTTCACAAGAGTGTGGTGCTCCAAGGTTGCCACACTCTGGATGCAGCAGGCAGATCAAAACTGGCATGCACCTGCAGGAGAATTCAGCCCATGGGGAGAGGAGGGTGTGTGGAACACACCAGCTGTCAATATGCAGACCAAACTATGCAGGTTGGTCTGCTGGAAAGGTTTAGTGTTGTCATTAAGGGCTGCAAAGATGAGGAGGGGTCTGGAGCATTTCTCTTGTGAGAAGTTTCTGCAAGAGCTGGGCTTGGTTAGTCTGGAGAGGACTGAGAGGGGATCTCATTAATGCATATAAAAATCTTGCAGGTGCCAAGAGAATGGTTCCAGAGTCTTTTCAGTGGTGCCCAGAGACAAGGACCCATGGTCATAAACTAAAACACAAGCAGTTCCACCTCAACACAAGGAAGAACTTCTTCATTGAGGGTGGTGAAGCACAGGAGCAGCTGCCCCGAGAGGGTATGGAGTCTTCCCCTCTGGAAGCACCCCAAACTCACCTGGATGTGAGCCCATGTCACCTGCTCCAGGTAACCCTGCTTTGGTAGGGGGTTGGACTGGGTGATCTCCAGAGGTCCCTTCCAACCCCACCCATTCTGTGACTAAGCACCAAGCAAAGAAAGGAAGTTTTCAAGCACAACAGATACAAATTGTATTGAAGCTTCTTTCTCCTTGGGCCTGGCTGAAAACAACAAGGAGAGAAAGTTGTGGAAAGCATGGAAGAAAAATGAGTGCAAAATGCTGGTGGGCAGAACCTTAGAAGGAATGAACTCATGAGAAGGTCATGGGTGGATTGAGTAAGGAAGGAGGCCTCACCCACAGGCAGGTTTTGGGTATTTAAAGGACAGGCTCAGAGCCAAAAGGAGAATGGTGGGAAATAACAATATCAGGCTTGGTGCCCCAGCTGAGGTGTAGCAATCCATAACATTGTGCAAATCCATTACTATTCATCTCTCAATGATTCCAGTCTTAAAGGAGCTCAGCCAGGTGCATGTTGTGCAAGATTTCTCCCAGCCACACACTCAGAAGGATTTCGACCCTGTTGATTGGACTGCTTACCAGAGCCATGTTTTGCTCAGCAAACTCAGTTTCCTGCTACTATGATCAGAAATCTCTCATTCATTGATTATTTTCTCCACTTTCTTTGAAAGTCCAAAAACAACTGGGAGCATTAATGGAGCAGCCACCTAAAAAGGTTTTAACATTTTACTGAAAGAGGTAACTGCTGTTTTGCAAAAGCAAATAGGGCAGAAAGAAATGGTGTGGTGTTCCTCAGGAAACACAGCAGCAAATAGGTAGATTCGAAAAGAAAATTCAAATTTCCCCATAAATAGTCCCATGTTCCACTTATTTTTGCAATGTTCCTGAGACTAAACACAAGAATAAAAGAAAGAGTCCAGGAGCAATTTTGAAACCTACATTTAAACAAGAGTAAGTGACAAAGGAATTTTTTTTAAAAAAATTCCAAATGTATAAAAACCACAAGGCGGGGGAGATATCTCTCAACCTTGGTGTTTTCTGTCAGCACAAGGGGTTTAGAGCAGCCCACACAGTGCTCCTCACAATGATGAGAGGAACGTGACAGAGGTGACCTCTGGGTGAACACCAGACCAGTCCTACACCACTGCATGGGCAGAGCTGTGGCTTCCTCAGGGAGAAGATCTCATTCCTGGATTAACTGGGGGAAACACCTTATCTCCTTTAATCAGCATAGTGCCATCTGGGACACTCCTGGGGAAAAGTGGAAGTTCAGAGGGCTGCTATTCCTTACCTGAGTCCAATTCTCCCAGTCTTAATGGTATTTTATTTGCTACCTATGATTTTTACCCTGGTAACCGCACATTCCCTTGATCTGGGGACAAAGCTGCATTAGAGTTTTCTGGAAGATAACACAGCTAATCAAATCAGCTGCTAGGTGATCCTGAAATAATACCCTTTACCAACAGAAGACAAAAAAGTGAATACATGTATAAACAGGGTAGAGCACTTGGGATGCAGATCAGGAGTAATGTTCCTCAACAGAAATGAAAGTCTGTCTTCCAGAACGCCTTTAAAGGTAAATTTTGCTGCAGTAGTCTATGCTGTGGAAGGCCTTGGGCCCATGCACTGCAAAGGGTGGGCAGAGCTGAGTGAATTTGGGATGTAAGGAATGTGGGGTGTGCCTCCGAGGCTGCCTCTCCGCTCCTGTGTCTTCTTCCTGATGGCTTGAACGTGGAGCTGCTGATTCAGCCACTCACCACCCACCACACAGACACATGGAGGAACATACCTGCCTCTCCTTCTTGGGTGATCAAACCTCAACAACATCACAAATCCAGACTGGGCCGACAAATAATCAATGGTATGAACAGATAATGAAATTTTCTAGGCTTATCTAAGACTTGTGGGCACACTCAATTCCTGACATAGCTCAGATGAGTTTAATTTCCACAAGATGTTTCTCTTTATGTAGAAGAGCCAAAAAACCCCAAAAAACCAACTCACTGCTGTGAGATCACTAGTCAGACACCGTGGTTCATAAGCAAATGAGGGTTTATAGGCCTCATCCTTCTGGAGCTGTTAAAATGGATTTGCAAGCCCTTGTATCTGAATGATCATGAGGTATTTGTATGTATGGTGGTCTCAGGGTGCTTACCTGTTGACCACCATTAGCCACAAAAACACCCTTTCCCTCTGAAACATAAAGCCTTTCAATTTTACAGATTATTATTTAATTATCGACAGGTGTCAGGTTATCCTGGCCTGGTGGGAATACTCTTTGGCCACACATGCTGTGATATAATACAGAAACATGAATCAGACAAAGAAAGGACCTCTTTTTAATTTAAAACATACACCCTGATTCCCATTGATCCTATTATGCACCTTCACAGCAGATTAACATGTCATTCAAGTAGCAAACCAAAGAAATAAAGCAAGGTGTCACGCACAACAAATGCCTCCATGACACAAGGCACCACCACCTTACACATGCAAGGGAGCTGAAGCAATTAAGGGTAAGAAATGTTTTCTTAACAGGAAAACATGCACCATGCTGTAAAAGCAATTCCTTCCTCTATCTAAGCTGTAAAGAGATATTCCCCCCGTAGCAGCAAGCCATGATGGATGGGAAAGTCAGTCAGTTTTTAACTACTGTAGCAATTCTGCAGTTATCTTGATTTACACCAGCTGAGGATCTGAACACAGTGATCTTCAGTGATCTGCCAAAAGCTCAAACTTCTTTTGTTCTTCCTTCAAAACATTTTTTTGTGGAAAAGAACGGCAGTTTCCAGGCATTTTGCCATGGTAATGGCAAGGGTCCACCAGGGAAAAATTCAGGATGTTGTCCTAGGAGTACAATCACACTTCTTTCCTTTTTTTCCCCTCTCTCTCTCTTTTTTTTTTTTCCTCTTTCCCTCTGACTGATGTTTTTTTCATGCAGGAACGGCCACAGTAAGCCCAGGATCAGTTTTGGGAACACTCACAAACATGTCAATCTTTGCATATGATTACTCACAGAGGAGGAATGCATTATATAACTCCTGTCTTTGTCTGAAATCAGTCTTCTGATTATTTAGTGAAGACTCTCAGATGTCCTTTCTCTTCCCCATTTGCAGTTTCTCCCACCCTTGGACTTCTTTAGTGCAGCCTGCAGTTTCCAGAGGAAGAGGAACAGACAAATACTCTTTTGGTACCTGTCAGTGTCAATTCCTGTTAGAGATGGAGAGGTTGCTCTTGATCACAGAGAGCAGATAGTCCTTGGCTGCAGACTGAGAACCTTTTCCTGCAGTAGTATTCAGCACAAAATAAATACACTTAAAACCAGAAAAAAAACCCCAACCAAAACAAAAAAAAAAAACAAAACAAAAACCTATTTCCGAGTAAGAACTCTTATATCAGCCCCAACTCCTGAAATGCAGTTTACTCAGGAACACAAATTCTGTCCCCAAAAGGCCAACCAGCCATGCCACAGGTCTATTCACAAGTATGAATTTCAACTTGTACATATAGTCAAAGGCTTGTTCTTTGTGGTATTCTTAACAGTACTGTAAATTAGCATATGATAATGCTACTTCTCCTATTAGAGCCTTGGTATGTTTTGCCCTGTAGCTGTGATTAGGGAAAGAAAAGGAGGATAAGCTTAAAACCTGTTTTTTTTTTTCCCCCAACTAGGTTAACACAAACACAGCCCAAGTTGTGCTTAAAAACAAGCCATTTCAGAGCAGGCATAATATTCCATGCCTGTTATTAAAATACTTGAGCTCATGCTGAACAGATTAATAGGGCTGAACCAGCAAAAAAGAAATCTCATAATGCATTTCTTTGCAGGGATTCCGCATCCATGACGCATTCTTCATCAATGCAGGTATAGAAATTACTTTGCTGCAATGCTTTTGTTAAAGCCCAGACCCAGCTCTGAATGGTGTGTGTTTAACACTCACTCGTCCTATGTGTCTGGACATACATATATGTATAAAGGGGCTACAACTGCTGCAGCAATATGTGGTCACTTACCACATATTTGTACAAATATCATCTTCTCCCCAAACTGGCATCCTATTTGTTACTGTAAATGCAGTGCAGATTGCTGGTGACTGACAGTTATTATCTTCCTGGGGCTGCTGGGTGGCAAAACCATCAATTCAGCTGATGTGAGGCAGAGGGGAATATTTAACCTGCAGAGGCCAGGAACCCAGCATTCCTAAAAAGACATCTTACATACCTCATATATTACCGCCACAACTGGAGCACACGTCTGTGGCTTTGGCAGGCCCTTCCTTTGTTTGTTCTGTATCCAGGTCCTGTTGCTGCTGTCATCCTAGCAACTTGCATGATCACCCAAGACAGCACAAATAGATATAACTTAATATCTCCTCAGGAGATTATTACAGAACTGTTATGCTTGAAATTAGGCACAATGATGCATTTTGCATCAGGAGCACACACTCAGGAGCAAAAAAGCCTGTCAGCAAAGCAAATTTCAGATGAGGCATGCTAATGCTGAGCTGGAAAAGGCCTTCTCACCAGCAATCATTTTGTGTGGGTAGTGAGATATTCCAGCCAGCCAGCCATACATCATGAATATCAATTACCACACGGACACATGCAAACAGACGCGCACATGCACACACACAAACACTGAGCTGGCTTGCTAATTGTCTGATAAAATCTGGATGCTTCATAACAAAGTGATTTTAGTGGCTGCCAAAAAGAAAAGTCTTTATACTGCAAGATATTTTAGCAGGGAGAAAACCAACCAGAGCGCAAGTAGAAAAGAGGATTTCAGTTCATGAGCATGTGGTTTCAAAACTCCTTGCTTTGGATGAAATCTGCTAACACAAAATCTAGTACCTTAAAGCTGATGTTGGAAAGGTTGAACATCAATTTTGAGTGGAGAATGGAAGGCAGGGAGATCTCTACATGACTTGTTTTTAATATTCTGAGAATCTTCCCTTCCTGATACCTTGTAAAAGGCATAAAGATGACTGTCAGGGTCTTGCTATGCAGCATCCCTCCCTCCCTCNTCCCTCCCTCCCTCCCTCTGTGTGTATATCCATCTATCTATATATTTGCATCTATATCTCTATGTCTTGGAGACCTACCAGATTTCCATGGTGGCTGCAGCTGTATTCTGAAGGTTCATTCAAAGCCTGGAATATATGTGGGTTGGGAATCTCTCCCCTGACTCAGGCAGACCTCACTGATTTGTGTTTTGTCCCCACATGCATCATTCTTATGCCAGACAGAGCGGGAGGCAACTTTGTTTGGTTTTGGGGGACTGCTGTGGGGAGGAAGAGGATGGAGCTACCAAGATGTGTGCTCCTCCACATCTCTTTCTCTCCACAGTGCTTCAGACCAAGTATCTCTTGCCTTCTCAAGGCAGGAGAACAATGCACCTTGTTCTCAAGGACATTTTCCTGCTTGTTTTCATTCAGGCAAAAACCTCCTTTTTAATTCTCTCCTTTATGGTTGGTCTGGTATTTTTGGTGTTGTTTTTGAAAAATAGTTTAAAAAAAGAAAAAAAAGAAGTAAATAAATCAGCTTATAGGAAACAATGCCTCTTACACTTGTCAGATTGACACACCATGCTCCACATGGTGGGTCCCACCCTGTTCCATGAGTCCACTTTACATCACCATTGTCATGTCATGGACGTGGCTGATAAAAACAGATAAGAGTTTGGGAAATTTCCAAATTCAGGAGGTGGGGTTTATTAACTTTAACAAAAAATACACCAAAAACAGCCAACAAAACCAAAAAATACAACGCCTCCACAACTAAAAATAATTTTAAAAAAATAGAAACTTGTAAAATATTACCTCAACCTATGTAAATTTCATTTTTTAAAAAAAAGGAAAATACTTGATATTCTGGTTGGTGATTCGATTTCTCTCCGTCTTTATGAAAACAATTGAACAATCCAGTATGAACTGAACCATGCCACATGCAGCCTCCTCGTCTCACTTGGTACATGTATCAGAAGCAGAGCACTTTGGCTTAGCACTAGGTATTCCACAAGCTCATCCCATTTGCTAGTTTAATCCTCATCAATACTGCTATCCTCCACGCTCCACCTCATCCTCTGAAAAGAAATGCAAATGAATGAGATTTATAGCCTGGGATGTTTTCAAGTTTTCAAACAAGGTGGGGCTTCCACTGCCCACCAGGCTCAATGAGGAGCCTTTGGTTGCAAATTCCTTTGACTGAGCAGCTCTGTGTGCATGTCAGTAATGCTGCCCAAGAGTGCCAGCATCCTCCACCCCCTTCTTCACTTTCTTAGAGGCACATTTCAAAGCCTCCTTGGTCTGCTTGGCCTCTTGCTGTGCAAACAAGCAAAGCAGGGCACATCTGTAATCACAGAAGATTCTTCTCTATGCATTAACTTCAGCCCAGACTTAAAAACAGTGAATATGTCCAAGCCAGGGGATCACCTCAAGTTCATTCATTCCTGCTCAAGACCCTGGTATTCTTCCCTTTCATTTGGGTTTCTGGGGACTAACAGCACCTGGTTTTGCAGTCAGTAATTCTCATCCTGATGGCAAAAAAACCCCACCATCACCATCCCCCAGCATGAAGCACCAGGATGATCTTTTACAGAAAGCTCTCTCATGAACTTGAAATGAGGTTTTCCGTTTATTTTTGCCATTCCTGGGTATTTTTGGTCATCTTTCTATGTAGAGGACTCTAGTCAGACAGTGATATTTCACTGTCTGGCTTGACTAGGGTGACTTAGACCTGCAGACAGAAAGGGGACAGAAGCAAAGCTCAGGGCTGGGGTAGCTGGTTCACTGTCAGCACACTACACACAGACCTTTCCCCTGTGAAAACCAGCACAGCTGGTGGGGCTGAGATGCCTGGAATGTCTTGGCAATGTGACTCAAGCCCAGACAAACTCTTTCAGGACAGCAGCACAAATTTGTCCAGCATAGCCATGATGATGAACTGTTGTTGCACAAAGTGAAATTCGTGGTTTCCGTCCTCTTGTAATGGTCAGCTGTCCACATCACTGAAATAACCTGTGCTAATTGGCAGCTACCTCAGCAGAGAGCCCAATGATTAGAAAGATGTGGAGAGTGAACTCCAAGCTTGAGGTGATATCTCTAGGTCAGAGATGAGCAAAAATTGGCAAGACAAGTGAAGCAGCCACTTCCTCTACCTGTGCTGTGGATGAATAAAGGACTTTATATTCCAGAACTGTCAATCTGGCTCTTTTTTTTTTTTTTTTTTTTTTTTTTTTTTTTTTTTTTTTTTTTTTCCCCTAGCAGCACAAGTTTCCCTAACAAATAGAAATTAAATTTGTTCAAAATTCAAACTGTAGGGAAAGGAGCTTGGCTCTATTTTAATGGCCTCTTTATAAAGGAGCAGGAGGAATAATGGACAGTCTCTGTGCTACTGTGTTAACAAGCTTCCATTGTTGATAATGGACACCCTAACACACTGTGGAGAACAAAGTGCATCAGGTCTGCACACACTGGGCAAGGAGAGGGCTGGAAAACTGAAACCTTCCTCTTACTTTGCATTCTCACCTAACTATTTCTTCCTGTGCCAGTAAAGTTTTCCCAATGTCAGGAGGTGAAAATGACAATTTATGTAGTGAGAGATACAGGGAAGCATCAGACACTAATAAAAAGTATTGGGATGAACAAAAGAATTGCTGAATTATTAGAGAAGAGCAAATGCAAGTTTCATGGATCATGAACAAAAAAAGAACCTACAGGAGTGGAAAGAATCTTAATATCTGTTTGCCTCAAACAAAATTAAATCTTGAAGGACTTATGAAGAGGAGCTTCCTAAGGAATGGTATGCAGGAGATAGAAATGGGAAAGGAGACAATAAACAGCAACGCATTTCAGGTGCAAGCAGTTCTCTTACTGTGCCATTCCAGTGTTGATATGCATCCATAACTTTTGACAGAGTGAAATACAGAGCAGCAATATCACCTCTGAATCCTGCCTTTGCTCTTGCTGCAAAACCACCAAGCACAGCTGTGACTTTACAGGAGTCGTAATCATAACCCAGCAGAGGAAGAATATGGGGAAGTTCTAATCAGTGGAGGGCAAAAAAAAAACAAAACCCTACACAGAATGTTTAAAGATACAAGTGCAGAGGATCCTTGTTGGTTGGCATGGGTGGAGAGAGCAGCATCAGCAAGAAGAGGTTTGGGGATTTTCAGTGCACATCTGAAGCCAAATGTGTGCCACATCTTTGCCAAAAAAGAAGGGAAAGATTCGTGTCAGGTTTAGCATCCAATGAATGAAGCCAACATTTTCCAGTAACAGTGAGCAGTGTCAGATCCTCCACCACTTGAAATGTTTGACTGGAAGGCTGATGGCCACTCCACAAGAAGATTTTGATTATTAAAATGCAGGGGGGGCTGTTAAAGGTATATGTTGAGTGCATTTCAGGTATGTAAATGGATGGAGCATCTATAACAGAAATACAAGAATGGGACCAAAAAAGCATTCCAACCACAGATAAAATAGCAATAACCTCCAGTGCAGACCTATAGTGTGCACTTATAATGTCCACACAACAATATTTACTTTAATTTCTCCCCTTTCCCCAGGCTCCCAGGAGCAGTGTTTGCCTTGCAGAGATTTCTTCCATAGTCATTAGCAAAGCCTTGCATCAGAAAACTGATCAGCAACACTACTGTATCCATATACATATTATCTGAAGTGAATTGACAGCGTTAGGTTCTTCAAAAAATAAAGAAATCAATATGAAAACAGGCAATCTAAGCAAAACAAGTTTCTGTAAGAAGGATTTCTATACTTTTTGCAAAATGAGAGATCTCAAATTCTCTTTATAGCTGCAGCATGTTAAAAAGCTAATTAAGAGAAGTTTGGCTCTCTAGAAGTATTTCAAAAAGTAAATTTCTTTCCATTCATATCAACATTTCCCTTTCAATTTTTTTCTTTCAAAAATCCATGAAAACTTTAAATTTCCAGTGGCTGAAGGAAAAAAAAAAACCAAACACTTTTTCAGCAAATACAGGAGTGTTGATATTTTAGAGAAGAAAATTAGCCTGATTTAAATGCTCATCTCTGACCAAAAAAATAAAAAAAAATTCAATAAAAAGCCATTTTGATCAACATAATTTTACATTCTGTTTAATCTATACACGCTTCATTGGGCCATCTGTTTTATTGGGGTGACTCTTGGACAATCAGTGTAGTCAAACAAACAAGAATGACTGGTACTTATTCAGGAGTAAATTAAAGTAAGCTTCACAGAAACATATTTAGTTATCGCCAAACAGCAAGAATAATGCTTTGAGGTGTGAAATTGCTGCAGCACAGTAGGAAGGGAAGATTTGCCCCTGGGGTGGATGCAAAGGAGATGGGCCTCAATCTTTTTTATCTTTGGAAGAAAAATGCTGCTCAGTTTGCAAGCCAGTGAGGGCTGTGGCATGAGGGGAGGGGCAGCAGGGAAGAGAAGGGGGAAAGAAAAGGCTTAAAAGCTGAGCACCAGGAAAAAATTCACTTCCTCACCAGTCTCTGTCCAAGAAAACACCAATAGAAATGCCAAACATGTGCTGCCCCCTTTCCATGCAGGAATTTTCACGTTCTTGGGTTTCCTCTCCTCCACAAGGTTTTGCTGCTGCATGCCTCACTCACCTAACTCCTCTCAGAAAACTTCTGCCCTGCTCTAACCATCTTGGAGACCAGAGGAGCTGCCTTTGGATGATTTACTATGCTTTCTTCCTAAATTATTATTCTGTTCATCATGCCACAAGGATGCCCCAGTTAGAGGAATGTGTCTGAAAAGATCAATGACCAGCTAGGACATTATGGTTAGCGCTTCACAATGCAGCCATTCAAAGCTCCTCAGTGACAGCAGAGAGCAAGCTTGGATTTTCTGATCTGAACACTCAAACTTCCCTGTGCCCAAGTAAAAGGAGAGCCTTCACTGCCTGTGAGCTTTGAAGGGAAGGGAACATGGGGAGGAAGAGAGCTGTCTAAAAATTTCCGTCACTCGCAACTTGAAATGATCTTCTCTACTGGTGAGGCAAGGGCCAGGCCCTATAGGAGAGAGGGAGGGAGGTCTGCACTGGAGGCAACGATGTGATTGATATCTGGAGAAAACAGCTGAGGATCTGGCCCAGAAATATATTCAAAAACCTTGTTTGTTCATTTTGGAGGATAATTCCTGGGCATTGCAGCACAGACACAAATTTATTTGGTGATTTGGTCACCTGAAAGAAAGGTCAAAACCATTCTCTGCCCACCATTTCCATTCAGATCAGCAGTTAATCCAGTGGATTAACATTATAGA